ACCTTGTCTTTTAAAGAAACTGAAAAAAGGATCCAAAAACTTTACTTTCTATTTTCTCAAAACAGCATTTTTCGGGATAGCCCCCTTGTGCTTAAAAGTGACCAATTGTGAAACGTGTTGACAAAATGAGTTACTTCTCGCAATCCACAAAAGGAAATATAGGCCAAAAGTCCACACTATAGAGTCAGACCAGTAGATTTTCTATTGATGCCACATTCTTTTTGTATAACGTATCTTTTATTATTCCTTACTTATAAATTGTAAAAACTTCACCTAATCGCGTGATGTATCTATTTCCATAAGGCTTGGATCCCAGAAGTAACTCATTTTATCAGCACGCTTAACATATATATATTGAAATGAACTTCGGTAGAAAATAAATGCTGCTGTTGCTGCTGCTGCTGCTGCTGCTACTACTAATGATCCTACCACTACTGCTGCTGCTACTACTGCTGTTATTGCTGCTGCTATGACTACAGCAGCTTCAGTGGTGTCCACCAAACAATACCACCTTGAGAAGCAAACCTTGGTTGCTGTTCGACATAAGTTGCTGTGAGTGGTGGGGAGGGGGGGGGCAGCACACACACACACACACACACACACACATACACACACACACAGGTCCTAATGACAGAATGTGGTGATGTTGTTACGTCGGAAAGTGAGAATATAGGCAGCATCAGTGGCCGAGTTTCCACCAGAGTTTCTCCTTTCAAGTGAGCCGATGCTCGGTCACAGGTCGGTAATGTTACACTCAGTGGCCGAGACTTTTTCCCCCAGCCAGGAGACCCTTGAAGGAAGGTGGCTCTTACCCATGGAGACAAGGTGTTTTACAGCAGTTAATAGTTTTATGTCACTTTCAACACAATTAAGACACACAAGTGCCCAAGATTAGAGGTATTATAAGAGAGCAACAAACACAAAAATGGAGAAGAGATAAAAGACAATGTTTGATTGGAAAGAAGGAGTTGTTGTTATCGATCCAGCATTGTGGACTGGGGCGTCTGTGGACTGCCAGCCCATCCTGATAAGAGGCCATGCACGTTGAGGATAGGAGGGTACAAGGGGTTTTCATGAGGCTGAAAAAATCTAACTGTCCAGAGACCATAATAGTTCCGGTAGGGTTCACGTTGCCCATTCCCCGCCATCAATGGCTACTGGCTATAGCTGTCTACTCTTGCATGAGGTATCGGCCAAGTGGGAAAGCTATTGGATCGTCTCGTCTGGGGTCGTTGTGCCTTTACTAAGAGGTCCACGGTGAGAAGGCAAGTCATACACTATGCTCGATCCATCCTTGCATCCAGACCTCCCCAGACTGGGTGGTTCCTTCTCAGCCACAGAGGGTGAGTTGATAAAGAGCAGTAGAGGTGTTACTGTTAGGCAGATTAGACACCCACTCAAGGGAGAGTAGGGGTGTGTTAGTGAAGAGCATAGCGTCTACCACACATCGGTGGGTTCTGCTTCCTGCACCTT